ATCTACATTTTCACTGACTACCTGTCTTGTATGCACACCAGCCCAGCCCCCGGCTTCTTTACTTTTCATTCCATCCAGGAAGAGCACACACCAACTGCTGAAACTTCCTTAGCCTGACGAAGGGTTTTTGAACCCGAAAGCTTGCTTAATAATTATTTTCCAACTATTTGGGTTGGTCTAATAAAAGATATCAGATTCACCCAAGGAACCTTGTCTGCCTATATCCTTAGACCAATACAGCTACAACTTACATGCCTTTAATGCTCTCAGGCTTTAATGGGAACTGAAATGATGTTTCAAATGAATATAAAAACTTGTTTTCTAATGAATCTTTCAGCTTTTTTGATAGGTTTGTATTTCTAAATTAAGCAATTCTCAAAAGAGTCTTTAACCCTCATGGCCACCCAAGAATGTATTGTATTGTTTTAAAGCATCTCTGCAAGTATTATCTTCCTGAGTTTACAAAGAAATTGCTTAGGCATGACATAATGAAATCATTACAATTGCTGGAACTGTAAAAAGCTATACCATAGTCTTCTACTCCATATTGAAGCATTTACAAAATGCCATCACCAAATCAGTGCATAAAATCTTGACCTTCTGTGAAGTAAATGGAAATATTTATTTTTACATGGAAATATGAGGTTACAGGTAACCAAAACTCTCCATTACATCTTTACTGTAACTTACATGTGTTTTTTACCAAGTGAAAAAGCTGGAGACTGATGCAGCTGATTTCTTTATAAATATTTCCAGGATTTTTTATGAGGTAAAGGTGGACTTTTTCAGGTAGTTGGTCACTAATAGCATTTAAGTTCCAGTGTAATATAAGATCCTAATTCTAGGCTCTTTATGCTTTGAAATTTCGTTCTGTCCAGCAAAGACATAATGACCTTGGTAATGTTATGAAGGTCTCTGTGACTTAGCTAAAAGTGAAGCAATTATAGTTTGAAATAGGGTAGCTTCATATTACTGACTGAAATTGTTAGTAAAAATACAGTTTTAAATCCCAGTGCTGTACATTGTTATGCACTTGTATAAGTAAAGGTGAAGTTAAAGGGAATACTTGTGACAATCATGCATGTAAGTGTTTGGAGAATCAAGGTATTTTCTTTATTTGTTTTGCCTCTAGCAATTCTTTAAAATTTCAAATAAGATCCCCTGCCAGTGGTCCTGTGTCTTTTTTTAAGCATTTATAATTTAACACTTTTTTTAAACTCTAAAATTCCAGTGTCGTAGCTGTTTCTAATTTTTTTTTTTTTTTTTAACCAAGCTTAATGTTGGCATAAGTCATTCCATGTAGATCAGTGCTTTCATTTTGATCCGGGTGACACTCTGTGAATGGCTTCTCCAGTCTAGGTGTGAAGCTTGCATTCTCTGCACTGATGGTCACTAACAAGGGGACCTTAATTGTACCTCATGTTAGATTAAAGAAACCCCCAAAATAACTCCCTTCTGCATCCACTTAAGTTAACCATTTATACTATAAATTGCAATTTGGCATTGTTGGAGATTTGTGTCTCTAATTTTGGACTGTCTGTGTTTGTGACAAAAGGTGACTTTTGTTTTTAAAATATTTTAGTTAAATGATTGTGTGTCTTGGGATCAGGCACCTAGTTTGTGGAATTTGCTTTACACAATACTATTCAGATGCCAACATCAGTAATCATCAGAATCACAGTAATCTAAAGAGTGCTATTATGATATTTAGCCATGTTAGTTTGAAGTCAGGCAGAAGGCAGGGTAGAGATGCACCTTGTAGGCTAACTTAGTACTATACCTAAGTAGTCGGTAGAAGCATAATTTTGTCTCTGGCAATGTATGTGACGCACTTATATGCCAGGTAAGGGCAGTTGTAAGACTCTGCTTATGTTTGTTCAACCTCAAGACTAACTCTAATAATGTAACGTAGTTGAAGTAACTATTTTCAGTGTCGTTGTGGACTGTGCACACACAAATGCCTAGGTATTGTCAATAGATATTTTAGGTCGCCTAGTCCAGTGATTGAATTGGCTAATGCACATAAGGACATTAATACAATTGTTCTTCATGGGTGTTGGTTGTAGCTATATTGGTTTAAGGACATAGGCAGACAAGGTTCTTTGGGTAAATCTGATGCCTTTTATTAGACCAGCTCAAATAGTTGGAAAAATTCATCTTTGCAATTTTACCTGAAATCTTGCAAAGAAAAAAGTATGTAGAAAAAACTTTTAAAGCTGTGTCTATGTTCGAATCGCCGACTCTCCGGATCAGCATCGAATCTTCAGATTTGGATTCAGCCAATTCAAATCAGGGACAGTGATCCAAATCAATGAATCGAATCACTGTCCCTGATTTGAACTGAAACCAAATAGAACAGGGCACACACCCCTAGTAGTCAGTTTGTGTCAGTTGTGTTAAATGGGAGGACATCTTTGCTTATTGTATGCTCCCTGCGTGGGAATTCGTGAGGAGTATATCAGGCTGTTGCACCTTGACTTGGCATGCATCTGTAAGCACGGCAACTCCCTGGGGGTCTCCCACTTTGCAGATGCATGCCATGGGAATCCTTGCTGCACCCTGAGTTGGGCATGGCATATGGGGTCATTGTCCTGCAGAATTGGGGTGGAAGGGGCCTATCCTGTGAGACAAGGGCCCTGGTAATGTCTGTAGACCCCCAATAATCAGCTGTGCTTGGAGTTGGACTGGCACAGCTGATCCCACTCCAAAGACAATGCCTGTTTCTAGCCTGAGAGCCTTCCCACATTTGTCTGGGCTCCTTTCCATATGTTGACATGGGTTCTCAGCAGTGACTTGTTGCCAAACTATGAATCTGGTGTCCTGCTGGGGCAGTGCTAAGTATCTTTTGCCTTGTGAACTTGGATGAAACCCCTGTGAAGTCCAGCTATAGCAGTATTGTGGAAGGCTTTGTGGCTGCAAGCAGAAAGGACTGAGCCAAAGGTGTAACAAGAACCCTAAGTAAAGTATTTAATGAAATGGATGAAGTCTGAGGAAAGCTAGAAACCAATGAAAATAAATTATCCTAACTGATGACCTCCTTCCAGCAATGTGCGTGTGTTCCTGCATGCACCTTTGGTTTCATCAGGGCATCATTTAAGAGTAAGGGTTCTCGTACATGTCAGCATCTACCTACTTACAGGACAGACGGAGCAAGGGAACTGCTGGCCTAGCAAGGAATTCCAGGGTCTTGGATATGTTTTAAGGTGGTCTAGAATACTGGTTTTCAACCTTTTCAGACTGAAGACATCCCATTGAAAATGGCAGCCCTTATTTTTCACTTCTTTTTTTTTTTGACTACAGAAAAATAATAAAGCAATTTTTCTGTTGCAGAGAATTTGGGGAAACCACAACAGACCTGAATGTGTTTTTTTTTTTTTTTTGGGGGGGGGGGTTCTTAACCCAGTGGATTCCTCATCAAAATCTGTGCGTTTGTCTTGTGAATCATGTTTGCACATCTACAGACCTGGTTAAGAATCACTGATGTATAGAATTTTTGTTTTTGGCAGCCTTTGTTTTTGGGCTTAGCAAAGCAAACTGAAGGAAGAGTGTTGCATTTGTCAAGGCAAAATATACTGAAGCCTATATATAGGAATATCTTAAGTGGTTGTGAAAATGGTTACTTTTAATCCAGACTTACAAAGGCAAATATGAGTTTCTTTCACATTTCTGCATTCTGTTGCCAAATGTGTATACCTAAAATGCATGAATCTTATTTTTTTTTTTTTCAGAACATATTAATAACATATATTGGAATGTTTTTTGGAGGAGACTATATTTTTACATGGACAAACTTCATTGGGTTAAATATCAGGTAAGGCTTTTATCTTCAGTGTGTGATATTTCTTAAAATTATTTCTGCCTTGTAAATTGCACCAGCTTGTTATTGAATTGGTGAGAACGGTATTGAGCCGTCTGAACACTTAGATCTCAGCATACAACAGCACTTTGTTCTGACAGGAAGAACCAGCCACAACATTATTACATAGGAGATGATAGCTCCTGATCATGCGGACATGCAGGCATGTGAATACTGTCATTGGCATCAAGGGTCTTATGTACATAAAGTTAAGTTTGTATATAACTATTGAAGAATCAGGCTCTTACAGCTATGTGGCATCTATACACGAGCATGACAGTTGTTCCGACGCGCTGCAGTTCCAGTGCATTGGCACAGACTCGATCAAGTCTGCTGGAGCGTGGCAATTGCCGCATTTCAGCAGCCTCCTGAGTCTTGTGCATCAGCATTCCTGTGCTTAAAAATGGTGGTGGAGGTGCTTTATCTAAAGCTTGTCAAATGAGCTTTAGTTCAAGAGCCCCCCTACTGTTTTTAAGCATATGGACGCTGATACAGGAGGTGCGGTGGCACTTGGAGCTGTTCTAATTAAAGCGCTCCCCACCCTTCACCCTGGAGCACATGTAAAAGTGTCCATGAGGTTTAAGCTGCAATACAAAACACATCTTAATGTTCATCTGTTGTAAACTGACTTATTTGAAGGGGGAGAGAGGAAAAACAAGGAATGCAGGAGGGTAAGCTCTCAGGAAGAATGCGTATGTATCCAGTGTGACATCTATGTTACTTTTACCTTTTTTTTTATAAAACATATTCCTCCTTTCATTTCACGAGGCTTATGAGGGGCATGTTGATACTTAGAAACCTATGTATGGTATATAAAATGTCATGTCACTTTTATGCTGTTTGAAGAATTAGTATAATTTTGAAACTCAAAGCAAGTTATTTGCTTATAGTCGCTATTGAAGTAGGCTGTAAATTTCAAATTGAACAGATACATCTAAGAATCTAAAGAGAGATGATCAATCAGTAAAATCCCTGGAGAGAAAAAAAGCTGGAGACTCCTACAGCAGGATGCAAGGTCACCTGTTATCTAATAAAATGATCTAATTTTAAATAAGGGGCTCAACCTTCCTCTGCCTAGCCAGGGCTGAGGGTAGCACCGAACTATGTCTCAGTGATGTAAGCTAGATGCTCAGGATAAGCTTCTGAGGTATAAAATGCACCAGAAAACCTCCCCCAGGGAGGCAGAATAAGTTCCACCTCAGAAACAAGAGCATATGCATTCATCCATGTGTGTGAAAGGTGTAGGACAAGAGGAACTTAAGACTTAGAGAATACAAACGCCTTTCCCCAACCTGCTCCCCCCATCCTCCACAAAGATACTGTCAGCTTCTAGGAGGTTCTCCAGAGATGCTGCGTGCCCATATAGTGTAATCTTCCAGATTTCTTGTTCTTGATCTCGGCTGCCACATGGACAATAAAACTTGATCTAACAGCACAGGAAAAAAATAAGATTCCATCGGGGAATCTCTAGATGCACGCGTGCAGCTGACTATGTTGGATTCTCTCCAACATCGGAATGAAAATTGGAAGCTTTGACCACTTATTAGCCCTCTGGTCTGACCACCATCTTATTCGTGAAGAAGTCAGATGCTTCCACACAAAGATCGTAAAAGCAAATAAGCAGGTCTTTCCCCGAACCTCCTGGCTTCCAACTTGCCCTAGGTGAATGAGATGAACAGGGATCCTTGTTTTCTCTGATAAATATCCAAAATTCTCTGATTAAAAAGCCCCCAATTTTCCCATTTTTTGGCAATTAAAATGAAATGGCACTACACATATAGTGAAGCACCCTTTGCCCTTGAAAGGGAAAAATGCCAGGGATTTTCTATGGAGTTGCTATTGAGTTCATGCGGGGGGGTGCCCAGATTCTGTTGTGAGTGAGTCAAGATTCTTAGGAGAAGTAGACAGATGAAATGTGCTGTTGAGTATCAAGGTTAAAGTAAATGATGATTATCCATCATGTTCAGAACATAAGCATAAGCTGAGGAAAGACCACGTTTTCTCTCTTGAATGTATTGCAAAGATGAGAGAATTTATAGGGGTTTCTCTGAAGCATCTTATACAAACTACTTTCTGAGGACAGGATATTGGACTTATTCAATTGACAGATCCTTTGCCATTGCTTATAGGGCTCATGTGGTGAGACCACAGAAGGGAAAATAACTTTTTAAAGTTTGAGGGAGCAAGGGGAGGACCAAAAAACCCCAATTCTTGACTTATGACTACAAAGCGTTGTAAACAGAACATATATAAATGAACTTTTTACCCTCTCCTGAATGGCTTTTAAAAACTAACTGCCCCCTCTGGCTTTTTTCCTTTAAAAGCATCAGTACACAATGCAAATGCATTATCGGTCCCAGGCAGTAGCGCTGGGAATTCAGGCGTTTGTTTGGTATTCAGTGCACATAAGCTGGAAGTTGTTGGTACAGTCTTGACCTACATTTCACTGAACTAAAATGAATCCATTACCTTTTTTTTTTTATAGTTCCTGTTCTGGCTGAATATTTACAGCTCTAATTATATCAAGCCTGCTAATGGCCTTAGCAGTACTTCAGAGTGAAGGGAATGTGTTGCTAAAATATGCCTGTAATTGTGGGCTGTTCTTACTATCTGCTAAATTACACATCTGAATCTGAAAGGTAGCAAAAGAGAGTGATGTTGCTTAAGCTTTCCAATGGACTTGGTCATAATGTTGTTTCATGATCTTGACCTAGGTGAATGTGGCCTTAGAAGATGAATGCCACCCTTTTCACTTGTTAGCTATTCAAAGAACAGCCTCTGCCGTTTTCCCCTATAATAGTCAAACTGGTGACTCCAATGATGGAGCAGATGTACCAACCAAACTAGTATTTCTGGCTATTAAGCACTGAGGGTATAAATCCAAGTTAACAAAATACACCGTGTATGGGGAAAGGTAGGTGGAATTCAAAGTGTGTGTATATGGGGGTGGGGAGTAGACAGGCGGGGGGCAGAGATTAGCTAAGTAAAGCAAGCTTATGGTTGGCACTTCACCACTCTTCACCAGCCTTCTTGCATTGTACCACCTTCATTTCTTTTTTTTCCTTTTGTAGCTTTCTGTAAAACATGACAATGGGTGTTTTCAAAGCTCTTGTTTTTGTGGATGTCAGGCTGTCTTCAGTGTCAGGCCTAATATTTTGAATGTCTGTGTAACGAGGTCCATGCTTATATTGGTGTATGGTTTGGGTCAAAAAATTTGGAGCAGCGTCTTCACTGGAATCTTCTATTTGCAAACTGCAGAGGGAACAAATATAGTATTTTTGGAGTGTGTAGAGTACATACGTAATAACTTACTTGGAGTTCTAATGTTAATGCAATTTCATTCTTTTATCTCAAAATGTTTTGCAGTATTGCTGGAAGCTTGGTGTATTCCTACATCACTTTTACGGAAGAACAGCTGAATAAGCAGTCTGAAGCTAGCATCAAGATGGACATTAAAGGAAAAAGCTCAGTATAACCAGGGAATTACTTACAAAAACCCCTTGGTTTTGATTCACTGATGATTACTGGCGGTAGTAAAAATTTGTCAATGTAGGTATATTTGCAAATGCAAAGTACCAACATTATTCCATGACAATCTAAAGACTGCAGCCTTTTACAAATCTATTTAAAAGATTTATAATTGATTGTACATTAAATACACATCAGATTAATTTAGGCTATGAGGAAAACATTTTTTTAATTTTTGCTGAAACCTGGCAGTAAAGCAGTGCATCAATGATGACGTAGGAGTTCTGACTTCAGAGGGCTGTGTGAAATGTACTCTGGATGTTATCGAGTATAGTTTTGTCTTGTGGGAAGACTTCTACTCATTCAGTTACGGTTTAGTTTGCACCTGAACTGCAATGCAACTAAGCAGATCAGCAGGCAGTCTTAAACAGTGTTGAATAAGCTCTGCGCAGGGACACCAGTAAAAACGACTCTATCCCCTTTATGCTGTGTAAAAGGGACAGTGGTATAAAGCAGCTTGCAAAGCCCCAGTCAGAGGGGACTCATCAGTGCAGGCATTGGGAGGACAGCCTCAAAGCTTTCTTCTTAGTAGCCCCTCAAACACAGAGGTACCATAGGCAGGAGTTCGTATGAACTCCCCCTCAAAGAATTAGCCTTTGAAATGTAGTCTGCCTAACTTCTTTGGAGGGGAGGAGTGTGTCCGTTCCTTGAAGCAGCTCAGATCAGGGGGGTATAAAGACTGTGTAAAGCTTTCATAGCCTTTCCTCTTGGTCACAGATTCTGGTGCTGTATCACCTCACTCTTAGAAAAGAATAGAGTAATTGTTTAGCTTTATAAGCTTTCACTAACCATAAACCCTCTGTAGTCCCTGCAAAAGTCATGAAAAGATGATTCATGTGTTGGAGAGCTTGGTCTTCTTGTCAACATCAAGCTTTCCAAAGTTGGGGGAATTTCATGAGCTAGAAGTGCAGAGGGACTGAAATATAACTTTTCTTTTGGTAGAGAAAAGAATGACTTGCATATTAAAGGCTGGAGCCTGCTGATCTTTTAATAAAGGAAGCAGTTCTGCAATACATGCCAATGTTTAGGCTTTGAACATTCAACCATGTTTTGACCATTACTTTGTGAGGATTTTGTAATAGATGCTTTCATTTTAAATTTTTTGAAGCCTCTCTTCATCCTGCTCAGATTCTATGCTGGCCTCAAACAAGTTAGTGCTTGCAAAATTGAGGTAAGGTAAGCAATCTCGAGGAGAGATTCAACAGTACTAGAGACGCAGCACTTTCAGATTTATGGAATACCCTGGTGAACTGGCAAGGGCCTCCCTGAAAATCAGTTTGAGTCAACTACTTGACCTGTCAATCTTAGTCTGAGCAGCATGGCAGGTTGCTGCTCAGCAGAGTAAGCTAGCCCGCACGGAGCTAGCTCTGTGCTGCTGTGGCTAGGTAACTTGTGGTACCTGAGGTAGCTTGTAAGAAGGTGGATCAGGTGTCTGGACCACACTGGGCTGCAGTGTAGATCTAGTCCTAGAATTATTTTGAGGTTGGTGCTGCAGTGGGATCATTCAATTAAAGAAGCGGCCCATCCTTTAGGCATGTGAATCACAAAAGCGGTTCCCACTAGCACCTGAAATAAACCTGCTAGTATCCCTGAGATTTTGCAGATCAGGCTGAACTTTTACTTTAAAAATCATGTGAAAGTCTGTCTAAGTCTTCTTTCTAAAAGTAATGTTTTTGAGTGCTCTCTCATCCCAATACAAAGACAAATAAGTTAACTTTTTAGTTCAGCATATTGAACAGTTAAAGCACTTAACACTTTATGCATGTTAAAAGTTAGTGAAAGGTCTGTAAAGTGTTGCCTAGAGTGAATATTTAACTCATTACCTCTGTTCTTCTAGGCAATGTCTGTTTTTTTTCCATAAAAAAAGACATTTAATATGTACCATTGTATGGTTGATACAGTTCTAATATTTTAGCCCTGTGCAGATTTTATTCTGTATCTGGCTTCTTGTTGAGTGCAGTTTTCCAGAAGTTAAGTACAGACTTTTAATTTTGCAGTATTATTTTTTAAATCTCTCCCTGTGAATATCTTCAGTGAAATTTATATACTACTTCCCTTTCCCTTTATTTTTACTTCTATCCTTCATTTTTTTAGAAGAGACTTTCATAGGCACTTTTTTCTAGTTGCCTCTGAAAGGATATTTGGTAGAAAATCCAACTGAGGTTGTAAGAAATGCTGCACCTGTCAGAATATTTCATATGTAACCTCTCAGAAGTAAGAATTCTTGTAGATTTTTGTGCAAAAACATTTAATCAACATATGGATAAAACCATACAGTGTTTATCTACTGTGTTTCCTTGGCAGCCTGCATTGTTGGCTAGTCCTCCATTTCAGAATCTTTAAACATAGCCTGCTTAGGTGGGTATTTTTAAATGAGCTAAACATATGCTGTTTATATATTAAAGGAAGTGGAAGTCTGCATTCAGTGCAAATGATACCCTGACTTGTCAAAGGCTTCCTGAAATCATGCAGTTAGTTCCTACTGTACTGTGATGGCATGACCTTATGAGTCTCCTAAAGAAGAGCCAGTCCTGGGGATGGCAGAGTTCGGTGAAGCTGCTTGTAATTTTTTTTTAAATCCCTCGGTCAGGGAGGTGGAAGAGGAGGAATTAATTATGGGGGGAAAGTAAATAATCCAAAGTTGTGATGAGTATTCTTTTAAATAAGCTAAACTTAGGAAGAAGCTACAACAAAAGGATTTACCAGATACATAGTTTTCCCTTTTCTTGTGTACTAAGAAAATCCAGTGTAAAAACTGGAAAACTTTATCATGACAGTCTTTCTTCCACAACATGGAAGTCACTTGAACTACATTTGGTTTTGAACTATGTAACCTATTTTTCCCCCTCATTGAACCTAGGTGGTAATTTGAGAGATCTGGGATTTTGGGTAGATTTACTGCAGCTCTTGTATCAAAGTTGGAGAAAGCTAATATTTCAGAACAAGGGTGTGAACTGTACACAGTAGGCAAAAAGACTGTATGACACTTTCTCTTTGTCTGCTTTTTCAGTAGTCTTGCCTATAGACAGCTGTTGGATCATGCACGTAACTGTAAATTGTTTGCCTTTTCTACATGCTGATTTTAAATTCAGCAGATGAAATTTCTCCTGTCTGTTAAATCTTTGCTTTTCTTTGTGAGGGAGAAAAACCAAGAAACTGGTCATTGTAAATGGGTCACCATGGAAGTGTTTTTAACTTGCACTGAAAACTTATTCCAAGATTAATACTTTTGATTTAGTTGATCATGCAAATCAAAGTACTTGTTCTAAACCCTTTTTTTTAATCTAGCAAGATCATGGCAGAAAACCTCTCTCTAGACCCTTTATGCCAGGTTAAAGATCAGAGCTGTGTAAATGGATCTTAAAAATCCCTCTTCCAGTTGTGGTAGTATTTATTCCCCTAGTGCAGGCACCAAGGAAGAGAGCCACGAGTCTGCCTTTAGATGTCCTCTTGCAAGTCTTGGCTTGGGGGCAGGTGTTAAGGTAGGACTACAGCACCATCCCTTTATGGCAATTTCATGAGTTGAAATGGTCTGCAGAGACTTGGGGGGAGGGGTGCTACAACTTGGACAAAGCCCCAGAGCTTTCCAAATTATACCAGAACCTCATGGCCAGGAAAAGGGAAGATGCAGAGAAGGCTTAAAGTTGCCATTTCATCTCTTCCTTCTGTGCTTTACCTTAGAGAAGCAGCACAGAATATTGTTTCAAGTGATTTATTTTGATTAACTTAATGTGATGTTTGACCAAATCATGGAAGTCTTTAGCCAAGCCTTCTAATTCTTACCAGTAACTTAAACTGGAATATTTTCATATAGTTTTTATTTTTGCTTATCATCATGCTGGTCTGAAGCATTTCAGTCAGGTGTTCATTACTGAGAGAACTTCTACCTTTTTTTTTTTTTAATCTACTGGTTAGATTTATTGTCCTGTAAAATATTTTTAAAGCTTACATTGTTTGTAAACGTGCACATTTTAGTGCCAAGATCCAGATGATATTGTATACACTGGGAAGGTGAACAAAATTCATACAATAGAGTATTTTCTATACTATTAATCTTACTCTAAATATGTTTTTCTATATAGAGTCTATTTACAAAAAGACTGTTTAGTGTTCAAAGGATGCTTTTGATTTGAATGTACTGCAGGCTTTATATCTATTACATCATGAATGATAGCAGAAGGAATCTTATGTGCCTATGTATTTTTGTACTGGCTTTAAATAAATACTGTTTTTTCCTGAAACACTGGTGTTTTTTTCCTCTCACCCACAATCTTCATCTGATCTTAATTCAGTCATCTGAACTGCAGCTTGAGGTGTGTGGCTGATGAGATGGATGCTGACCCACGCTATGCAGTCTATGGACCATAGAAAACACCAAGTAAACTATTCTATTTAACTTATTTGATCTGTTAACTCAAGCACTAATACTTTTGGGCAGTGGGGTTTACATTCAGGACCTCTTTAACCTATCAGGAATCATGTGAAGTTTCTGGAGACAGTTAGTATGACGCACACAATTCTGTGCCATTGCTGCTCACATTCCCATTTTAATGTCTTGTCACCAGAGGATGATAGTGGAGTTCATGCTGACTTGTCAACATGAACAACGTAGCTGCCACCACCGTCCTTCTGAGAGGAGTTGCATTTTGCAACTTCACTCAGCTATTAGGTTAGTTCCTGTGCTTGGCCTTCTTACCTTTCACATAATAGCCTGTTATAGAACACCTTTCAAACTTAAAAATGATAAATTGAGTCCATACTGCAACCGTGTAGCACAGCTAGTCATATATTTCCCTAC